ACCATCAGTCCATTTCAGACCTCTGCACTGGATATTCTAATCAAATGGGTGATCTTGACCATTTCTAGCTAATCCTTCTTGCCAAAGGTTCCTTGTCTTGGCCATTTCTAGATGGATCTTCTTTGACTTCTTCCTCCTGCAAAGAGGAAAACATTTTGTTCAGGGAGCATAGTCATTACTCCCTATTGATGGTTTTTGGCCACTTCATGGATAAACATATTATAAACTTGATGCAAACAATAATAGAGCCAGTTTGGTCTAGTGGCACTAAGCTAGAAAGCAGGAGACTTTGAGTTCTAGTCCCACCTTAGGCATGAAAGCAAGCTGGGTGACTTTGGGCCACTCACTCTCTCTCAGCCCAACTCACCCTTACAGGGTTGTTATTGTAGGGAAAATAGGAGGAAGAAGGAGTATTAGATACGTTTGCCGCCTTGAGTTATTTATAAAAATAATAAAGACGAGATAAAAAATAAAAATAACAGGGTCAAAGGACACTCTGAATAAGAGGTGCCCAAGAAAAACAAAAAATATAACACGTACTGAATTTTCATGGCTTGTTTGCCTGCATGAAAGTTGGTATTTTAAAGTGATGTTCTCAATCTTTCCTTTGGCAAGCCTATTACTCAGAGGTGGCTGTGAGCTTTGGGCTACAGATAAAACTGGCATAGGAACCCTCTTGTGCTATATCTCTTAATATTCTTCTTACTCACCATACTGGCTAAGGCTGTTGGGAGTTGTAGTACAACAGGTCAGTTTTTACCCCAGTTCTAAGTTGAGGGCTCATCTCCATTGCTTGCTTGCCACAGCACAAATATGCCTCTGACAATGTGTCCTCACAACAGAGATTCCATCTTCACACCAGCCTGCTGCTGAGGCAGATTGAAGCTGGATCCAAGTGTTCTGGTATGAAAGTAGTAACTGGAAAAATGGAAGAAGAAGACCTTGTTTGCTGCCCAGAGTTGTTAAGAACTGGTCGGCATACAAATTTAATTGATGATGATGGTGATGATGATATCCCATCTGGACAGTCCATGGTGCATGGAGGAGGAAGCTGGAGATGATGCAGGCAGGAGTAACAATTTGCTTAGCTACAATTGGACCAGCAGGTCTACTGTGAGGCTGCAGTGCTGCTCTGGCTGCAAAGAGACTGGAATCCAACTTCTGCAGGTCCTTCCTTTCTCTTCCCCTTGTCTAGAAAGTGCAAAAACCTGAAATTACCTTTCCTGTCCTAGCTTAAAGGCAGTAATTGAAAAGACAGAGCCCGTATGCTACAGTAAACTCCAGAGCAGGAAATTTTCTTCCAGGTGGTCACTGCTGTCAGGGAAGTTGTTTCTTCTCATTTCCTCTTCTTACAGAATCTTCTTCTAACAAGTGAATTCCATCATAGAATGTAATCTGGTGAAGGTTACCAGATTACATCCAACCATATTTTTCTTCTCCTGCCCTTTCGGCTGATCAAAATTGTATATATGCTGTGATTTGACAGAAGAATCAATGAAATAATTTCTTAGAGTTTAGCTCTTGAATAACATTTATCCAGCCACTACACCTCAGTTGCACAAATCTAGATCACTGCAAAGTATCTGAAGAGAGCCAGTTTGGCCTAGTGGTTATGGCACCAGGCTAGAAACTGGGAGACCGTGAGTTCTAGTCCTGCCTTAGGCACAAAGCCAGCTGGGTGACCTTGGGCCAGTCACACACTCTCAGTTCCTGCCTTAGGCACAAAGCCAGCTGGGTGACCTTGGGCCAGTCACACACTCTCAGTTCCTGCCTTAGGCACAAAGCCAGCTGGGTGACCTTGGGCCAGTCACACACTCTCAGTCCTAGGAAGGAGGCAATGGCAAGCCATTTTTGAAATATTGCCAAGAAAACTGCAGGGATCAGTCCAGTCCAAAAACTGACGCCAAGGCACACACACACACACACACAAAGCATTGGCTCAGTTCAACATATGGAATGGGAATTGTCTTTGGATTTAGACAGCTTCCACTTATTGGTTGGTTTGCTTTTGTACTGTTGAAGTTTGGCTTGGAGCCTAAATCAAAGTTATTCTGGTGTTTTTAATTCTCAGGGACTGCACTTTAAGAGTGGCCCAGTGCAGAGGATGTGGGTTGTAGACAGGAGTTTAACTCTCTATTTAGAAATTGATTTACTGGCTGAAACTGTCCCATTGCTGTTTTTTTAGCTACGCTTATTTCCTTTATGTAAAGTCGGGGAAAAGTTTTAATTATTCAGAAAGTGCAGCATTAGATTGGCAACAAAGCTGTTGAAATTGGTTAAGAGTTAAGTGGCTTTAAGAAAAATAACCCAGCAGGGTCTGCACGAGGGGTCAAAAAAATCAAGATGGCAGTTGCAGCTATGCAACTGAAGCCCCACCCCTTTATTTTATTTTATTCAATTTGTATGCCCTCCATCTCAGCAACTGACTCTGGGCAGCGAACAATCTTAAAATAAATTAAAAACAAATCCCCATCATAAATACAAAAGTTAAAATACACAACAGCTAAGGAAGATGTCATAATCAATGGCTGTTAGCACAACCAGGAGATGGGACCCTTCACACACTCAGGGCAACAGGCCCGGGCACAGAACCAGGTCTTTAGGGCCTTACGAAAGGTCAGCAGGGTTGGGGCCATCCTCATCCTTTGTACATGTGTGTGATGTTGATACATATACAAAAGGGGTGGGGTTTGTGTTGAACATGATAACCATCTTGACATTTTTGGATCCCACTGCAGATCCCACTGTAGTAATCCCATGTCTGAGTTAGTGCAACTTCTCTTCATAGCACAAAACCCTGTAGTTGGAAATAAGACCTATCAAAAACACTTCAGACTGCTTCAGTGACGGAAGGACTACAGAAGGATTAGATGAGTGGTGTTCACTCTTTCATATCTGCTATTCAGTATGTGTGTGTGTGTGTGTGTGTGTGTGTGTGTGTGTGTGACATCATGGATTGCTGTGGAATCCACAGATTTGTAAAACCCACCAAAAAGAAAAAAAGAAGAAGAAAAGTACTGCGCCGCAAAACAGACAACAATACTGGACAAAGTTCCTACCATCCCCTTTTCTCTGAACAAACCCACACAAAACGTATTTGTTCATGACAGATTGCTACAAAGAATACTTGTTTTTAAATATTGCATTTCAGAAATATACACTGGGAAATGTATGTAACAAAGAGTGACATCAGAGAATTTTGCAATTTTT